GTTTAGTAACAATATCATGTAGTTCAAAAGTAACAGGAAAACCAAGCAAGATGGCAGCGGTGCATGGCATGGCCAGGGGTCCAGCACACCGAGTGATGCCATCATTGATGACATCATTGAAGGATAGAGAGACACCTTACCACATGGTTGGAGCCAACAAAGCTGATGGCACGGATGTCTGGGTCGGAGCAGATGAAGTCAACGGCTAGTAGATGCAAGAACACGTGCACACACACACACACACACACACACACACACACACACACGTGCATCTAGTGTTATCCTCTAAACACACGGATAGTAGAGCGTCCCAAGACTTGCCACCACTGACAAACTGACATTTCATAACCTACATGTATGTTGTACAGAGTGAAGACTGCATTACAAGTACACTGAGTACAACTCGGATTGATAAGGGGTACCTCCATGGCCAACAGGAAACTGTACTTATGTTAATATACGATGACGGCATATCACAAGGTGGAGGACACTATGTATGGAAAACAGTGTTCCTGACTGCAACCATAAACCGGTCGGTAGAGTCTCGTACTTAGTACATCATCAGAGGTAGTTCTTAACCAATGCCCATCCTAAGCAAGTGCATGTACAGTCAACTTCACCAATAACGACTGCGGATATAACCACAATTCTACAGTCCCACCTAACTGAAATACATATAAGGCCATCATTTTTTATATCCATGTTTCGCGTCAGGTCAACTTCCAGAATCATATGCGAGAGGTGGAATAAAATAAAAAATTGCAAAATAATAAAAAAGGCTCATCAGAGGTGTATGCACTGTACATAGCACAAAAGCTCGTGCATGGTGTACATTCGAAAGAAAAATCGTACATCGAAGCACAACATCTGGGTTATCAGCATTAGTAAAATATTCACTTTGGACGGAGGAGGCAACCGTTGGTGCCTATGCTTCGCTGGATTATTGTACTCAGACTTCAGCAGCGGTGCAAAGAGCTCCGGAACGACGCATCCTCTCAGCTTGAGGCGATCAATGCGGTCTGGTGTAAGCTCATAGAATATTGCTCCCACATGCCGAACAAACGATTTACCAATGCTGGCCTAGAGGCCATTTCTAAATCCCAGTATCGCCGTATGCAACCAGTCCACACTTATGACTCGCACGATCGTACATTCACTGTGCATGTTCGATTTTTTTATTTTTTTCCAAAAAAAATCAAAACGTATGCGTGCGGACGACGCGAAACATAGCTATAAAAAATGATGGCCTAATGAGACTTCGGGTATACGGACACTTCGCGAATAAGGACACTTTTCTGATGCCCCGCCGAGTGTCGTTATACACAAAGCTGACTGTATTAAGTATCAGAGTATGTACTTGGTGAGCTCCACTGCCTAACTAGACCTCAGTTTGAACACATTTGAACACGTTGTCTTACCTGGCTTGGTGCCATGGATGACATTGAGAACACCTGGCGGACAGCCAGCCTTCTCAGCCAGCTCAACCAACATCATCGTCACTGTTGGATCACGCTCCGAGGGCTTCAGCACGTACGTGTTGCCGCAGACCATGGCTACCGGGAACATCTACACGTCACAGACAACAAAAAACGAGAAATGCTATAAACTTCAATCATGAGCAGTGGCTTATCCCTAATCCCCACCGGAACAAAACGTTAATTCTACTTCGAGTAAAATCAATACAATTGCACACGGTCATGGATACAGTCATACGATACTAGCACGCCCACAGGACAGTGACGTTTCTGCAACAGTAGATGCCCCCCCCCCCCCATACACACAGACACAGACACACAGACACAAAGACACACACACAGACACACACACTCCCCATGCACACACCAGCATGCATGCCCATGCAAGCTGCAAGTCATACGCTTACCCAGAGAGGAATCATGGCAGGGAAGTTGAACCTAGGAAAACAAACATAAGACACTGGTTATGCTAAGCGATGCACTGTGCAATTTTCCATACTTCCTGCTAGCACAATAATGCGTTTCAAAAGTCCAGACCTCTGGTTTCAAAAAACCGTTAGGCCAGCATCTATACCACATAAAATCTGTGATCACTTTTTGCATAAAAATTTCGAAATTGGGCATCTGTTATCTAATCGCTTAAAAATTTACATGAGAAAATTGCGTGAGCTGCCTGAGCAATATTCCGAAGAAATTTCTCAAAAAGCTCAAATCAAATTTGAATTATTCGAAAAAGTCTAGAGGTCTATACTTTTCAAACGCACTATAGGTTCTTCTTGTGACCAGACGAGACCACACGGCGTTTGCAGGCAGCAGCAGCAGCATGAACAGTTAAACAGCCACACTCTACGACAAGAACTAGTAAGTTACTCCTGACAAGTCTTGTTTCGTTCCATGATAAGATGACAGGAGATCTTTAGAGACGACATAGTTCTTGAATTAAAGGGTTTAAACTAAACAATACTGTTCATAGAAAAAACTGGCACAAGTGTGTGCACTTTGAAAACTAACTCACACACGTGACA